GCGGATCCTCCCTTGTCGGTTCCTGTCGTGTAGCGGTATGGCGTGGAGATGGTTGTGGCCCGTGTGAGACCGAAGCGCTTGGCGATGGTGTCGGCGTACTTCTCGGCGCTGAGGTAGATTGCGTCCTCTTCTTCTCGGATGTTGAGGCCGAGATACTGAGTGACAGTAGGCGAGACCGTGAGCGTGAGGTCTTGTTGCAGCTCCCCTTCGAACCAGGTGGTGATGCCGTCAGTTGACCCGATGTAGAGGAGATCGTCCACGTAGACGATTAGCAGGACGTAGTCGTCGTTCTTCGTGAGCCGGTACATGCCCTGATCGTGCGGGAGTTGCTTGAAGCCGATGCGGATGAGACGAGCGTGCAGGTACTGTTGCCACAGTCGTGGAGCCTGCTTGATGCCGTAGAGCGACTTGAGCAGCTGGCAGACTTGGTTGGGCTCTCCGTGGGAACCGTGCGGTAGTTCGACGAAGATTTCTGCATCCACAGGTGCGTAAAGAAACGCGTTCGCGACGTCGATTTGCCGTAGCTTCTTCTTCTTCATGGCGGCGATCGCGAGGAGGATGCGGAGCGAGGTGTGACGGCTGACCGGAGCGAAGGTTTCGGTGAAGTCCCGTCCGTGCTCCTGGTCGAAGCCGCGTACGACCCATCGTGCTTTGAACTTCTCGATGGTGCCATCTGCTTTTGTCTTCACACGGAAGACCCATTTCCCGGTAAGAATTTTCTTGTTTCGTGCTACGCCGATGGGAACGAATTTCCACGTGTTGCGCTCCTCTAATGCCTTCAGTTCCTTGTCCATGGCTTCGCGCCATTTTTCCCTGTGCTCCCCCCCCAGAGCCTGCTGAACCGTTGCAGGCTCCTTAGGAATGGTGGCGCCGTGGACCGCGGTGACGAGCCCGAGTATCTGAAGTCCACTCTGTGTGTAGCGGGGGAGTGTGGTGTCCTCGGGATAGACTGCTTCGTCTCCAGCTTCTGGGTCAGGTGCGAAATTGGGCCCTACGCGTTCTGCTTCGTTGGTGTTGACTTGTGCAGGTGTAACGTAACCGTTGTCGGCGAAGTGGTAGTAAGTTTCGGCGTTGACGCTTTCGCGAGGGTTGTCGTCGTCCATTGGTACGTCCACTGGGCAGTAGGGAAGAGGTCCGGCTTCTTCCGAGGCTCGGTCCACGTTCTGCTCGTCCCAGTCAGCTTCATCTTCTGCCGAGGCGAAGGCTCGGGTGCCAGTGAATCCGCCCGAGGGATCAGGTCTGTTTGCTCTTACGTAGGCGAGGTGAACGTCGAGGGTGAGGTTCTCGTAGAAAAGGGCATCATGTGCTGCGACTGTTTCTTTGCTGTTGATGTCGAAGATTTTCCACGCGTTGTAGTGTTTTTCGATGCCCAGGTGTAGTCCCCACTGTGCTCGTTGGGAGAATCGGCCGGCGCGTGCAGATGGGGGTCGGTACTGTACCATGCAGCCGAAGACTCTCAACATTTTTGTGCTGCCCAATTTTCCTGTCCACAGCAGGTGCGGTGATGCGTTGTTCGGGAGCGATGATGACGAGAGCAAGTTGTGCAGCATGACGGCGTGGTCCATTGCTTCGGGCCACTGGTGGTTGGGCAGATGCATGCCACGTAGCAGCTTGCGCATGGTGGCTTGGAGTGTCCTGTTCATCCTTTCTGCTACACCTTGTTGTTGATGGGCGTAGGGAAGGGAGATGAGCCGCTTGATTCCCTTCTCTGCCAAGTAGTCCTTGAACCTCTGTGAGGTGTATTCTCCTCCCCCGTCTGACTGGAAGCTTTTCAGTTTTACGCCCGATTCTCTTTCTGCTGCAGGAAGCCAGGCGACGAACGCTTCGAAGGCCATGTCGCGGCTTGGTAAGTTGGCGTGCCAGACGTATCTGGTTGCGGCGTCGATGAAGGTGATCGTGTAGTTGTAGGCGTTTTGTCCGGGCTCGCGGTTGTACAGGATGTCGCTGTACACCTTTTCGAGTGGTGCATAGGCTGGTGCACTTGGATTGTGGTGAGATAGAAACGGTTGATGCGTTAAGTCTGCTTCGGGACAGTTGAAGCATGTTCCTCGAGCTCGCTGAAGTTCTCTGCCGTCGGTTAGTAGGAGTGAGTCTTTGTCGAGCACTCCTGCTCTTATTGTGTTGTTTAACACCGTGTGGCTTGGGTGTCCCATCCTTGCGTGCCAGGTTCCTTCAGTGGCGCGATGTCCGGGTGAGTGGCGGTACATATCGGAGTTGGAGTAGAAGCCGGCGGTGACGTTTGCGCTTCGGAGGACTTCTCGTCGTGCCGGGTTGAGCTGCTGCGCGGGTGTCGGTGGCGTGTCGTCGATGAAGGGCGGTGCCGTTGAAGGACCGGCGACTGGTGTTGATGTTCCTGCGGCTGTTGTCGTTGTTTCTGCTGCTGCCGATGTTGTTTCTGCTGCTGCCGATGTTGTTTCTGCTGCTGCCGATGTTGTCTCTGCTGCTGCCGATGTTGTCTCTGCTGCTGCCGATGTTGTCTCTGCTGCTGCCGATTGTTGAATCGTTGCTAACGCTCTTGTTCTCTCTGTTTCAGGAATGGTGTGCGAGTACCAGAAGCCGCCCGGACTGAAGTCTGGATCAAGATCTGGAGGATGTGTCCAGTTGGTGAAGTTTACGATGGCGTCGCTGTCGGCCGTGCCAAGATCAGGAACGAAGTCAAGAACGAAGACGTTGTTCTTGAGGACCGCCTTCCCGATGTAGAGGCCTCCTCTCCCGTGGTACAGCTTGAACTCCTGAGTTGTGCTGTCTGCTTCAAGATGAATACCCTTCGCCATCAACTGGCTGACGCTCAGTAAGTTGTAGCCGAGACCTTCTGCGATTAAGACCTTGGACATCTGCAGAATGACGTTTGTTTCTCATGACTGAAGTTGAACGATTCCTTGCCGTCGTGTGCGCAGATTCTGATTATTGGCGACGGTGATGACTACTTCGCGTTGAAGCTGGTATTCGCGTTGTACGAAACGTCCTGAAGAACACATGTGTTGTCCGCAGCAACTGTCCAAGAACCACGTGTCCTTCCCGGATGGCTCGCTTTGGGCGATGGCGGCGTACGTCGGGTTCGGTTGAAGTGACTCGCGGCGAGGTGTCGTTTCGTCGAGTTGTTCTTCTGGTGAGTAGTACGGTGGTGATTCCGTGATGCAGGAGTCACTCAGTCTTGCCATGCAGCTGACGATGTTTCTTGCTCCTTGTGCAGGTTGTCCCGTTGAGGTCGTTGAAGCTTGAATCTGAGTCGTTGGGTTCGCCTGTGTTGATGCGACTTGATTGCTTGAAGGTCGTAGCTGCCGCTGCGGAGTCGTTGACTGTTGACGATTCGGGCAGTGCGTGCGCGGGTGCCCTGAAGTCTTGCAGATGTGGCAGAAGGGAGGTACGGGCTTCGGTTGTTGTCGGTTGTTGTTGTTGTTGTAGCGTCGCTGGGTGTGAAAGGCAAATTCTGATGCTGTTGTCTTCTTCCTGTGTCGTTCTTCTTGCAGGTCCATGTCCTGCTGCTCGGCGTGGATTTCGGCGCAGAGTGCTGCTTCAGAGATTCTGCCGTGGGCTCGGAGAATGGCCTTTGTTGCGCGCCATTGGGGACCGAGGCCGCCGATAATAACTGTCACGAAGGCGTCTTCAGATATTGACCCTCCGCATCGAAGAAGCTTGTCGCGCAGCTCGCGACATCGGCTGATATACGCCATTCCTTTCTCTCCCGGTTTCATTTCAACTGTTGTCAACTGCGCCATTAACCTGCTCTGGTTTACACTGTCTGTTGCTTGATACAGGCTCTTCAGGTGGCTGTACGCGAGCTCAGCGGAGTTGAACGTAACCCCGGTAAGAACGTATGTTCTGCTGCTGAGTTGGTGTGACGTTCCTCAGCAGAATCGTATACGCCATCATCGATTGATACGTATACTGCTGTTTCTCATACTGTGTGCCATTTGTTGGGTATTGCAGGGACCCGTCGAAGAAGCCAAGTATCTGCGCGCCCTCCATCATCAACTCGAACTCGAATGACCAGGTGAAGAAGTCCTTTCCGTCGAAAGGTCTTGAGGTTTGCAGCTTCAGAACGTGTGCGAACTGTGATTGAACTTGTAATGCGTCCAGTGGTTTGTCTTGTCCAGGTGAAGGCTGCGGCATGAAGCTGATCGACCCGCGCTCGTACGGGGCGAAGGTAGGTTGCTGCTGTTGGTTTCCGCGCGCATATGACGACCCGTCAAGACTCATTGGGGTCGCTCTGTTGTTGTTGCTGTTGTGTGACTGCGCAGGTGCCGATTGCTGGTGTTGTTCGTAGAACGACATGAAGGAGAAGAATTTCTCCATCATGCTCTGGTCGAAGTCCGCAGGGTGATTTGCGGGAGTCTCAGTAGACGTCGCCCTTGGTCTTGTTCCCGTGCCTTCCTCTGTCTGCAGGCCAGAGGCAGGAGGTGGAGTAGGAGTAGTGCCCGGGGAGCCGTTAGAGGAGCTCCTTTCCTTGTTTGTTGCCATGTCCTGTGATATATCTGATGTATTGACAATAGTAGAGTTTCCCCTGTGAGCTCTCATACCATGTTGGGCTGAGAAAAGCCCTTAGGATCTTTTCAGGGGTAAACTCTGGGTAGGAACTTTGTAGTAGCGGAAGCGTTTAATGAAGAGTTTGTGAACCACCTTGCGCTAGTATGTGAGGGCAAAGTAAGTTGATTATAGCAAAGAGATACAAGAATATATAATAGTACAAGGAATACGAAAAGATACGGTTGTAACTAATTTACTGTTGCTGTTGCGGTTCGATACAGTGCGACTCGGGCAACTGCTCTGTAGCGAGTCAGTTGTGTGTCCTTAACTGTCGCGCTGCATTTGTCAGGTCAAAGGTCGCTTGACCTTTGACTTTCGCGTAACCTCCAGCAACCTCTTCAACCTCCAAGGGTTGACTCGCGGGTGCTTCGATATGGTTTGCCTTGCTTCTGGTGTGGTGTTTCGACACGACAGAGGCGCTTAAGATTCACTGTTTCCAACACTAACCTGTGACTGGGGTTCCCATCCCAGCCTCACACCACCACACAGGTACCAGGCAGGAGATCACTACTAACTGTCACTCGAGGAAGGGCAGCCTTCAACCGCTTCTGCAGATCCTCCTGATCTGTTCTTACATATGACAGCAAAGGCAGGCTCTTCAGCCACTTCACTCCGTCTTCAGTAACTGCAGATGCTGTCATGTCCAAATGCTGCAAGGCAGTCAAGTGCCTCACATGCTCCATGGCTGAATCTGTAATCCCAGGTGGCAGCACATGCAACTTCAGATTGATGAGGGATGACAAATGCTGCAAGCCATCACCTCCTGTGTTTACATCCCCCCAAAGCAGACTCTCAAGGCTTGTCAGCCTGCCCACATGCGCCATGCCAGCAGCTGTGATACCCTGGCAGGCATTGAGCTCCAACGTTTTGAGCGAAAGACCTGTCAAATTCTGCAGACCGGCATCCGTCACTTTGCTGTTGGTGAGGGAAAGATGTTGAAGACTTTTCACTGCCCCAATGCCTTCCAAGTATTCATCAGAAACTGCCATCGTTCGAAGAGATAACCGCTGCAGCTGTGACAGCTTGAAGATGTGCTTCATCCCCTCTGCAGTGAAGCCAGAGGACTTGTCAAGATCAATCAGAGTTAGGCAAGGCATGGCTGATGCGTAGTGGAGGGCAGTGTCTGAGATGCTGGAAAGATTCTTCAATTCCAGTGTTGTCCGAAAAGGTGAATCTTTACTCCATGCCAACAGAATTGCCTGAAAACAAGTAGGTGTGAGATTCAAACACGTCACATTTGCAGGGACCAAGTGCTGATGTAGTTTTGCACAACAAATTGCAATCGGGGAAAAGGTAGTGGCACAAAAAGCAGTTGTAACTCACCTCCCATGTTTGTTTGCTTCCTTCCCCACATTGCTCAAGGGACTTTTCAAGCTTTGAAACGCACTCCCTGTACACGGCCACCTCCATCTTTGATCCTGCTAACTCACTCTTCACTGCTGCCAGTTCCTTTTTCACGCCTTCCAATGTGGTTTTGCACTCCTGCTCGCAATGGGAGAGAGACTCCTCAAGCTTCAATGTGTGCTGCCTGTGTTCAGCCATCTCCCTCTCTGTTCCTGCTAGCTGACTCTTCACTTCTGCCAATTCCCTTCTCAACGCTGCCCCTGTCACCACCAACTAGGGAGTAGACGGGAGCAGGAAGAAGCGACAGCGAGGAGGGAGAACGGACAGGATGAGGTGCAGAGGACTGTGGAATGACATGGCAACTCAATTGAGAGAATGAAGGGGTGAGGGGGAGAAGAAATGGGTGTGAAAGGGTTGTTGGGAGTGCTGGGCTTGAAGGTAGCCTACCATGAATGAAGTGGCTGACATCATCAGCTTTGTCAACCAAGGTTTCACGGCCAAGCCGTGTTTATGCAGCCACGCCCTGGCTTGTGCGAGAGAAACACCCATGCACCAGAGCAGCAGTACCACAAAGGCTACAATCGAATACAGCATGTGAACCTGTGAATGGTATATGGTGGAAGAAACGGGCACAATTCGGATATGATAGACACATTAAGAGAAATGCAGCACTGGTTCAGCCGGTAAGCAGTGGCAACAGACAGCTTAAATGGCATGTTGTGTGGTCATCCAGGTCATGCTAACGAGGTTAGGTTAAACCCCCATTCGTGCTTACTTACCCAAGTGTTGAGCACGCGAATGGACACACTGAGTGACTTCGCATGCTGAATCTGGGAAATGAGAAAACATCATAGCAACAAAAAGCTTTAGGGATAGAAACAATTCGGTGAATAGATATATACTCACGGAGCAAGGCAGAAAAAGAGGCTTGCATGGAGCGCACCGTTGCATCCATGATGTGAGCAGCATATCACATTCTTAATACATGCTTTGATTGCCATACCATGCTGTTGTTCATGGAGGAAGGACTCTCGCTGAGGAGAACAGTCATGGTCATTGTCACAACAGCAGTCACCATGACTGTGAGCAGAGATGCTGTCGCCATCACCACTTCATCAACCATCAAAGCCATGTTCCTTGAAGAGGAGTGGGGGGGAAGGGGGGGGTGGAGAACGGGAGCAGGCAAAGCTGGATGCTTCAGTTCAGTGCACATATATGATGGGGGCAAACTAGAGGAAGAATTGAAGGATGCATCATGGCATGCGTGTGTGCACTTCGCTGGCGCATGGATGTGGATGTGAGACAGTAGCAAGAGAAACATAAAAGATGGACGTGAGGCAATGCGAGTTGCATGGGAGAGTCAGATGAATAATGCTCATAGGCAGACGCGAATGGACGCCGCAACATGAAAGGGACCCACTGGGTGTGGACGTGACACCCACGTGAGAGATGGGAGCTTAAACTGCACGTAGGCACTTCACTACCAAGCGTAGCATATCTGCTCTCGAGAGCAGACAGGAAGGACGTCAGCGAGATTGACATGAATGGTTGGACTTCACTTTGAAAGTGAGCGGAGCTGTGAGCGGAGCAAAAGCATAGCTCGAGGCTTCCTCGCAAAACCTCCTCCATTTCGGTCATCAGCATCGCATGTCCTCAGCTGCTCCTTTCCAATGACGACCCATCATCCCCGCCGTTCATTGCGTTTCATGCACCTCCGGTTCTATCCATAAAGAACACGTATGCACTTGGGGTCGTTGCGACGTGCATAGGGATCCCATCGGCTTTCTTCTCTCGCCTTGCGCCAGTCCCCCGCGCACACATCATGCGCCTCCTGCCTGCCGTGCGGTGCTCCGCGGACTCGAGTTTCGAGATTGCGGACGTAGCCTATTGGTGCGATGAGCTCTCGTGGCTGCGTAGCCTATGGGAGAGACCTGCTTGCATGATGGTTCTCACAGGACACCAAAATGAGTTCTGGAAAGTGCGAAATCCATGCTCAGCCTGGGTGGACCTCGTTTCGTCAGATCTCTCGCTTTCAATCGTTAGCCGCCTCGAAATCAGCGCGCGGGTCGCATTTGCGTCAGTGAACCACTTCACATCCGCAAGCCGATTGGTGCGGTGAGCTCTCGGTGGCCTATGAGAGAGGCATGATTGCACGATGGTTTCTCGCAGTGACAGCTGGCTATACCTAGATTAGTTCCCAGAAGTGCGAAATCCATGGTCTGGTTCGGTGGTCTCGTTTCGTCAGGCCCTCACGTGTAATCCACGATGTAACCACCTCAAATTCTCTGCGCGGGTCGTTTTTTAGTCAGTCCCAGGGTCGCTTCACAGGTGAACCTCTTCGCAGCCGTTACCATAAAGATAGAGCGCAGGCACATTGGTGGAACTGGACTCGCGAGAGATTCCTTGCGAGAAGTTCTCGACATCGCTGTGACTTCCAGCGAACTGGAGTACGATTCTGGTTACCAGAAGCAACCTCGAACGCATGCAGATTATTGAAAACGCCCTAGATTCATCCTTGAAAGCTAATTTTTCCCGTCAGCCGTGGTTTTTCTTGTTCCGTTCACGCATCGTTCTCGCCAGTTGAAACCGCTCTTACTCCACGTAGCCACATGGAGTACTGCTATGACCTCAATACACGATGGCGCAATGCACGGCGCGTTCGCGGCAGGCGTGCGGTTGACGGATATTCTGAGAGCAGCGAACGATCTTTCCGAAGCACGGGGTGACGGCAAGTGGTGGAGTTGGAATTGCGTGGGATCGGCGGGATTGACAAATAGTACTGTCCATGCGATTCCGTTCGCGATATTAAGGCAGCATCATGCTGTGTGGAACACGTCGATGCGTGAAATCAGCCTGTTAGGGTTAGCTCGGCATGGCATGTTTCGACTGAAGCAGGTGCTGCTATCGGCGGGGGTTGGTTCCATCGCATTTAGCTCTCCGCCGACAATACGGCGGCACATTGAAATGGTATGCCGCAATCTCGTCAATCCATTCTCTTCTCGGTTCCCTCTTGTATCCTCCTGTTGTTCCCTTTTCGTACTATCATTCTCCTGGTTTTGTGTTCCTTTTTCTCTTCTGGCCCTTTCGCCTAACTGTTCCAACTCCATCGTTTCCCTGTCAAATTCCAGTTCCCTTTTTCTCGCCTCTCCTTTTCCTTTTTCACCTATCTGTCGCGGACTTTTGGAATTTACAGCTATCGCCACGCCTTATCCCTCCCCTTTTATCAACGCCGATCTGTTTCCAGACCCTCCCACCTCTACCCTTTCCCCTTCCACCTCCAAGTGCCTTCTGCTCCGCGGGCTTCCCCCGTCCCCACATCCTTTCTGTTCCCATCTCCGTTTCCCTCCAGTTTCGTCCCTTTCCCTCCCTTCCCCCTTCCCGTTTCCCGTTCTCATTTCCGACCCAATGTCTACCTGTGGCTTTTTTCTTTTCGTGAAGGGCATGGCGTCAGCAACCGTGGGGCTGCCTGCTGGTCTGAGGGCGAGGGCTTGATGGAATTCAATGGCTATGAATGGTCATGATCAACATTTGCAGGAATCTCTAAGTGCTAATTCATGGCTGACAGCAGCGTTGGGGTTGAACTCACAGAGGTGTGGACCACGGCCACCTCGTCACGTGCTGCTTCTGACGAATGGCTCCGAATGTTGCACAATCGGAATTAGGGGATCCAAAGCAGCAGCAAGCCCACGTGTGAATATGTGGCAGTCGCAGTCACTTTGCTGCTCGCAAATCTCTACACTCCCTTGGTTTGTTGTGTACTGATTGTGTTGCAGTCTGCATTTTTGCCAGGTAATGCCAACATTGCGTGTTTTGACTGGGTAATCAAAGTAGAGCCGTGTGTGAAGCCACACTGCAGTGTTTGGCTCCACTTCGCCGGCTGTGTTGTTCGAAGTTGCACGCAAGCTCATTAACGCCTTTCCTTCTTGTCAGTTCCCTATCCTTATCGTCTAGTCTTTCCCTTGTCTCCCCGTATCACCTATTTTCCCTCTCCTCTCCTGGTTTTGTGCTCTTATTTCTCTCGTGCCTTCGTTCTTCCCCCCCCCCCCCCCCCCCCCCCCCCCCCCCCCTCCTCCCCTGTCAGCCGGCCAGGATAGTCGGAACTCGCTGCTGCACCTCAACGTCAGCACCCAGCTGCACTCCCGGCTGCTCCGCGCATCGCATCATCTCACCCCCCACCTCCCCAGCCACCACCTGAACCCTGACGGAGGAAGAGAGGGAGCTCACTGCTGCCGGTGTGGGAGGCAAGGGAAGGATATGCAGCGGCAGCAGCAGGGGTGGCCAAGGAATCATCTGCTCTGCGCCAGCGGCTGGCGGTGGGGTGACGCACACCCAGCTGCACCCCTCAGAACAATTGCAGTGGTGGTGGCAGTGGTGGTGGCAGTAGTAGTGACTCCTGTCGCAGCAGCCATGATGCCTTGATCGACTTCAGCAGGTGTGTCCAAGTGAACACCAAGGGTGTCGCAGTGCAATGGATGAGGGACATTCTGAGAGCGTGGGAAGTCCTGGGAGTGTGGGGAATCCTGAAATTATAAGAAGGCCTGGGAATGTGGGAAATCCTGAAAATGTAAAAGATTTTGAGAATGTGGGAATCCGGAGAATGTCAGAATTCCCGAGGGCAGGGGAGTGTGGGATGTGGGAGGCAGTGGCAGTGGAGAGGGCAGTGGAAAGGGCAGTGACAACCTTTCCATTTTCCCTTCCGTTTCCTCTCTTTCTTCCTTCACCCTTGCCTCTTTCACTCACTTCATTCTCCCACCCGTTCTCTTCCATGTTCATCTCATCTCTCCCTCGTGTCCCCCAACCTCCCCCCACCCCCACCCTCTTTTCTCTGCGCCTGCCAGCCCAACCACACCTCAAACAGTTTCATACACCACGACCTTATTTTCTTCCCACACCCATCAACCCCTATGTCTCCCCAACTGAAGTATCTCTCTTTCTCCTGCTCCTCACTCGTATCTCCCTATATATTTTTTCTTTAATTCGTTTACCCCCCCACCCCCCCCCCCCCCCCCCCCCCCCCCCCCCTCTCTTCAGCTGACAGCACAGGCACATGTCACATGCAGCTGCTGTTCACCAGCAACAAAAAGCCCAGCCCAGTTACTCTACACGCAGCCATGTTGATTATGTGCTGGCTGGATGAGAACTAATGACGTTAATGATGATGTGGAGAGAGTGATGTAGGTAGTGGGGAATCGAGGAAGAACATGGTCCATGCAGGAGCAACAGGTGGGGACAGATGCAGCATGTGCAATGACTGGCACACTTCTGGATGGATGATGCTCAGACAGGGTGGCACATGTTAGAACCAGTTGGGACATGTTGGCACAGGTTGGCACAGGTTGGCACAGGTTGGGACAGGTTGGCACAGTTTGGGACAGGTTGGGAAATGTTTGCACAGGGTGGCGTGTGGAAGCAGCATCGCCGTACTTCACGACATGAAGTCCTTGCAGGTTGCGGCAGGGTTGTTCGGAGCAGGGGCTGCAGCAGGGATGGGGTTTTGGAGCAGAGCCTTGTCCGCTATTAGCCCATGCCACCACACCTCATACCAGTGCCACTTCACGGCAAGCCAATATTACTTATTTCAAGTGATCTTCACCATCATCACATGTCAAACCGTTGCCACCTCTTACCGATACATCTGGCAGAGCATAAGGATGAAGGCTTGATAGATCTTGCGCCTTGTTTGAGCCTTGGCAGTCTCCTTATGCATGATACTTGTTTCCTTATGGATGATTTTGAATTGGTCAGCACCACGGTTCAAGTCCTCTTGGTCCCAGACATCGCAGGGCGTAAACGTTTCCTGTCTCTGCCATCTTCTCAAATGTCTCGTTTTTTTCTGAACAAGCGTGGGTTGACAAATACGATTACGCTCTCACAGCCACTACAGCAATGAACACACAACAGCGCGAAGAGAAGTGAACAAGAGTTGGATGATAAGGGTAGGAGGGAACCCTTAGAGCATAGCACACCTATGTACAGTAGTCATTCTCACACATGCAGTCACCGCCAGATCACAAGCTTGACTACCTACCACACATATCTTCGGTTTTTAAGAGTGATTCACTCGAGCCGGTCCGTGGAAATCACAGCTCAAGCGAGGATACGGGAATCAGGGCAGGCTGTCATGGGCCCCGCTCGAGTGAATCACTCTCAAAAAGCTGCTCCATCAGTACCGTGCCTTCCACCCGTCCTGTCACTACTTTGAACCTAACCTCTCCATGGGGGCGTGAGTTAGCTTGGTCAGGGCAGTCAGCTGCTGCAGCCCATCATCCGTGACCGAAGTACCAGCCAACCAGAGACTCGTAAGGCTTGTGAGCCTCCCCACATGCACCATGCCAGCAGAAGTCACACCCTTGCAGCCATTGAGAAGAAGCGTTTCGAGAGAGGAAAGGCGTGTCAAGTGCGCCAGTCCAGCATCGGTCACCTTGGTTTGGCCGAGTTTCAAGGATACGAGACTGCTCACTGACCCAATGCATTCCAAGGCACTGTCTGGGATGGCAGCGAATGAGAGATCTAAATCTTGCAGCTGTGGAAGCTTGTAAAGATACCCCATGCCATCAGCACTGAGGCCTGAAGCATGACACAAGTAGATGGTCCTCAGATGAGTCATGGTGCACACATGGCCGAGAATGGCATCCGAGAGGTTGCGGAATCCATTCAGATTCAAGCTGGAATCTTGTGATGCCAAGTTGATTTTCTGGCAGGGGAGGGATTAACGAAGGAATGCACACATGACGTGTGAATGGATGAACATGGTGAAAAGAAACAAATAAAAATCAGTGCGAGGTCAACAGTTCTCTCTGCACTCACCTGCCACGCATTCCTCTGTTCGCCCTCACTCTGCCTGATCTCCAGCTCAACATCCAACTTCAGATCCGTCCAAGCTGCCGACTCCTCCACCTCCTTCCTCCTCTCCTCCCCCTCCCTCTCTCCAGCCTCCTCCATTTCCTTCCTCGGCTGCACCGCCTCGCTCTGGGCCGCACCGGGGCGCTGCTGTATCATCTGAGCCCGGACAGACTCCACCTTCTCACCCACGGTCTGCTCCACCCTTGACAGCTGCTCCAGCAGTTTCTGCTCCACCCTTCCCACACAGAGGTTTGTCTGTTCCACCAGTTTCCCCTCCACTGCTGCTACCTCCCTCTCCCTTTCCTCCACTTGCCCTCTCAGTTCCCTGACATCCTCTGCCCTCCGTTGCTCAATCTCTTCCAACCTACTCATCGCCTCTTCCAGTTGCACGCCAAGTGCCGTCATTCTCATCTCCATCGCTTCTATCTTCAGCCTGTCTCTCCCCACTCTCAACCCCAAAGCTATTGTAGCAGCCTCGCGCAGTCCCCGCATTCCACACCTGCCAAGCTCACAGGACATGCCAAAATGAGAGCAGGCCGCATCACAGGGCAGCACGTGGGAGCACATGTGAGTACAGGAATGCACAGGAGAGCACACAAGGATACGAGAGAACACAAGAGTGCGCCGTGTCACAAGGCAGCGCATCGGAGCTCATAGTTGCGCGTGGCATATGAATGGAGTATGCTCACATGGTTTTGTGTAGCAGAAGGGAAAAAGCGTGCAGCTGTAGCATGGAGATGATCGAAGTGGATCCAGCATCAGGGAGAACATGCAGGGGGGTCGTGGAGGAACAGAGGAAACACAAAGAGCGGAATGGGACGGGAATCAGAAGAACAACATGGAGTTAAGTAGAGAAGTACTGGGAAAGAAAAGTTGACAATGACGTGCTCAGTGGAAGAGGATGATGCCAAGCGGCAATGAGGATCGCAAAGTGAACCAACATTTGTCCCACTTGCAAACCATGCATTGCATACCCTCCAGTAGCTGATCAGCCTTCCCAGCCCCAACAGGTAAGCCCATGCAGCCAAGGCATAGTGGCGGATCCACGCTGTGAGTTGCGGGAAGGAGATGCCCATGAGCCAGAGGAGCACCACCAACGCCGTCATCAAGTGGTACGTGATGCCCGCCTGGCATGGCAAGGACAGGGCAAAGAGGTATCACACACATGGCCGATAAAGGTCGCTTTTGTGCCCTTCTTGACCAACGTTTTATTCCAAACATAGTTACCTATCAATACGAAACGGATTAGCTTAGTTGCGCCCTATTTCCAAGACACAGATGTGAAGAAAAACGAGACAATGAGTGGTAAGAGCCACAGATACCGATGCTCGCATCAGGGAGTGGAGGAGGGCAAAGGCCATGACTCCGGAGGGGGCAAGATGGGTGGTGCAGTCAACTGCAAGCGGCTGAAGGAGATCCAGGGTAGTGTCGTTCCGAGGGTCAAGGGCATTGAACTGCTGAATTTCAAACAACAAAAGGGTCGAACAGGAGAGTGAGGAAAGTGATGAGGAGACGACCCAACATACATGCCATTTTTTTTCACTCGCTTACAAGATTGATTAGATAAAGTGTCCCTAATCATATGAAAACGAAACACACCTGACGGGGGATAGCAGAAAGCATTAGAGGTTGGTTCACTTGCAACCTGCGAGGTTCATGCGAAAGCTGCAAAGGCAAGGTGGAGGGAACATGTGCATGCATGGTGTGAGAACAGAGTTGGTCCAGGCGCATGGGGTGAATATCTCGCGCTCTCTTGGTGAAACGTGCATGGAGACCAACGAGCAACACACGCTCCCACACGGCCATCCACACCCGTTCCCCTGTCCGTCTACTCACATTCTGCGCGTCGTGGACAGGAGGATTCGAGCTGAGGGGCATGAGGACGAGTGTGGTGACAGCACCCAGGATGAGTGCGAGCAGCAGACCTATTCCCACCACGGCCACTCCAACCATCCGAGCCATGGGAACCAGCTGTGCGGGATGAGGGAAAGTAGACGTACTGAGTCATGATGGGCAGAGAGCGAATGGGCGAGAGGTGGAAGGAAAGGAGAGGTGAGAATGGATGGACGATGCAGCAGCAACAGGAGAGGGGAGGAGGTGGAGGGAGAAGGGAGGAGGCGGAGGGAGAAGGGAGGAGGCGGAGGGAGATGGCGGCAGGGAGGGGAGATGAGAAAGAATATCAGCGTGGCAGGGAGGTGGCGACAGGAAGTCAGGAAAGGAGAGCAGAGAAGGAGAGAAGATAAAGCAGTGAAGAATAAGTAAGGCAAGGCAGGAGCAAGCGCACCCTACTACTGAATGGCCATACCTGATTGTGCGAGTTGATTCAGGCCTTTCTGCAAGCAACACCGTGAAGCCAGGATTAGGTTCAGTGGAGCAGCTGCTGTGACGGATGCGGTAGCTCAGCCCGGCGATGTAGGTGCTACTCTTGAAAATTCTTGTAAGTAACACAAGCAGGACCAGCGGAGCTCGGCTGCTGAGACGATTGCGGCTGCTCAGCCTGACCGCGGCGACACGGATGCGGCACAACCCCCACGGAGAAACGGAACAGGGGGGGAGCCGCGAGAGACGATAACGCGACAGAACGATAACGATGCGCACGAGGAGGAAGAAATGACGAGAGGAATCGACTAGACACCGATTTGAAACGCGAGGTGAAATCAATCTATGAAGGCCTGCTGCCTATGCCTCCTGCCTTGCTAGCCTCGCAACGCGAACCATCACAACAGTATGTCAACATCCACTTTCCGCCTCTCTCCAGCGCTCCTTCCACTCGCCGACCTGTTCCCGACGCGTTGCTAGCACCGCACTGCATAATCGCTGGACCGTCACGACGACCGTGACACATGGAGGCCCCCGAGGGACCGTTTTTATGCAGCAGCATGCATGCTGCCTCGTCCTGTGATTCGCGCGGACCTCGTCCTCACTAATCCTAAGGGCGTGTTAAATCGCCACACAATTCCGAAAATGGGGTGCCGCCGAATTTTTTACGACCAAATGGTCGTCATATTTTTCGCGAACAACGACGAGGTGGCCGAATCAGAGTCGACTCTTGAACAGCCAAAATTAACAGTTTTGGCAATTTAACAACTTTGGTGGCCGAATTGCAGGCTGGTTCGGAAAAGTTGTTAAATTTGCAGTTACTACAGTAGTTTAGTCTTTGCGACGGGGTCGCACTTTTGACGGCGATTCTTCATATTTGACGCGATCACAAATTTGGTCGCTGGACGAATCCATACGACGTCGCAGTCGTTTGTCGCACACTGTGTCGACTACTTGGCCGCTTTGGAGTCGACTCAGCGTCGTTTTCGTGTCGACCTTTTAAACGGCCATCAAATTCGTTATTTTTTTAACGAAATTTGCGACTGTCGCCATTAGAATTACGATTGTCGCGAACTGGTTACCTTCGCAAAAACGGCCCGACGGATTGTGGCCGAATTTTTGGAGTTTGCGATTTAACACGCCCTAACTTGCATCATTTCGCTCTGCCCCAAGAGTGGTGCTGACTTGCTTGCGGATTTCCCATGGCTGACGCGCAGTTGTGAAGGCTTCGCAGGAGCTCCACTTGTGTACTCATTTTTAGTGGACAGTGTTGAGCATAAGCACAGCGAGTGGGCATGCTTTCAAATCAACACATTCTATAAAGACAAGTTCAAATTCCCCATTTGAACATTCATTCCTTATTACTATAAAACATTACTGATCTTCCAAGAGCGTGTAAGCTCCATTCACTATTACGGCGATACCAAAAGCGTGTGGTTTCTCGCTAGTTTGCAGTCCACCCATGACTGCACACCAAAACGAACTACGGTAATACTCATTTTAAAGTTCAGTTGGAAGTCAGCTGTCGATGATGTCCAACAAACGATATACCTGAAGCAATGCACACCCAACATCACAAATGCCATGATGCTATTGGTTTGCCCTCCCCACTTGACCCATTACCCCTTCCATCCTCATTCTCCTCCTTCCCCGCCCTGTCTAACAGCCTGCATAGCCCCTTATAATCAACCTCCCTTCCATCTGGCAGCCAGAGCTTCTTCAGCCTGGTCAACGAAGTCAACTGCCTAACCCCACTATCGTCCACCGCAGTGCCAAACAGAGACAACTTCTCAAGGCGAGTCAGCTTTCCCACATGCACCATGCCTGCGGACGTCACACCTACACACCTGTTGAGCCACATGGCTGTGAGCGAGTGAAGGCCAGTCAAGTGCCGAAGGCCAGCATCGGTCACATTGGTCCCGAGCAGAGAGAGGTGGTTCAGGCTGTTCGCAGCCCCAATGGGCTCCAGCGCACTGTCCAAGAGAGCCGTGTTATCCATATCTAGCCTCTCCAGCTGCGGGAGCCTGTAGAGGTGCTGTACGCCTGCTGCACTGAAGCCGGAGCAGTGGCTCAAGTCGATGCTCTTGAGGTGGGTCATTGTGGAAACGAGGCCCAGGATAGAGTCTGAGAGGCGGGAGTGATGACTCAGGTCTAGGATGGTGGAGCGTGATGCTGTAGCTGACTGAATTCTCTGGAGGAGGTACATAACGGGAAACATGAACAACCATTAAAAGTAGTTGAAAGACCAATTAGACTAGGTGTGGGATAAGACCAAATTAGGAGCACGCACAGAATAATTAAGTTCCAATTACGATTCCACACTCACCTTCCAGATCTTCTGCTGATCCCCCTTGCTCTCCCTCAGCTCCTCTTTAACGTCCAGCTCCAGTCTCCCCTCAATCACTGCCCTTCGCCACTGCTTCACCACCTCTAGCTCTTCTTTTACTGCTACCAACTCCCTCTTCCACTGCTCCAGCTCAGTGACAACTGCTCTGTTTCTCTCCTGCAAGACATGCACTGAATGCCGCAACTCATTTCCCCCTTTGCCGCCTGTCATCTCCTTGTTCACCGCAGCCACCACCGTTCCTGCCACAGCGTCAACCAGGTCACTGGTCGCTCTCCCAGCAACCACCTTCCACTGTCGCGTTTTCAGCGACTCACCCCTGCCTTCAAGGGGAACGACCTGGCATTTGTAACCGGAAAGTGAGAAGGGGGATACAAGGATGTTGGGGAGTAGGGAGGAGAGAGGGGGAAAGTGATGGTGGGGAAATAACTGAGTAAATGGAGTGAGATAGTGATGCGGGGAAGAGGGCGTTTAGTATGAAGCCGGTTGACGTGTATAGGGTGTGCTGAAGCCACAAATTATGCGCTCGAGGGGAGTATCTATATGATAGTTTCTCGGATCAATGCATGAGATAGATCTGAGATAAGACAAGTCACAAAGCTCGACAAATCAGAGACGAATCAGCTGGAGTCGGGTTGGGCTGGTGATGCGTCGAAAACTCACTCAATACTTAACTTGCGAAAAGTCAGCTAAGTAATAGTCAGCTTGACGGAACCCTAAGTCAGTGCAGAGAAGGTGGCAGCGACTTATGGATAAAGTGCGAATGCATGCATGATGCTAAAATCTCATTGCACATTTGCCTACAGTTTCAGTGTGGCTGGGTGTGTAGAGGCGAGTCATGAGCGGCATGACAACGAGTCTGGAGAGGGCAGCGAGAATAAGAGCCACCTTCACCCCTGTGACTGCCGTCATGGCTATCCTCCCTGCCCGACCCATGGGCGTCAATCAGCCGGGGACCGTGAAGCTTGGTAGGCGGGGCAGTAGTGGTGGAAACTGGAGAGGGTACAGGAGCAGCAGAGGGATGTAGAGGAGGGTGAAGAAGAGCGAATGTAGACGGAATGTGATGCAATAAAAATGTGGGATAGAGCATGGAATGGAAGGTTTGAAGGGAACAGTTGGAGTCAGCAAAACGAATTTAGCAAGTGGGGACGACGGGAACAGAAATGAAGGGGAACAAGGAGAAAAGCAGGGAGAGACATTCACATATGCTGCATCAGCCTGGCACAAAGGTTGATGCACAGCCGCAGGAGCAGGGGAAAAATAATCAATCTCGTTCACGGGATTCTGTAGGTCGCATGGAGACATGGTTGGACACGGCAGTGACAGGACGGGCCAATGGCGTGAAAAGCCACCAGGAAACGATGTGCCACAAGCGGGGAGGGAGACCAGGTCGAGATGAGATGGGCGAAAGGGAGGAGCGAGCGAAAGTTGGAGAGCACAGGCGACGGAAATGAGAGAATTTCTAATGGTCGCGCTGGACGCATCATGATAATCTTACGTGTTCACTGGGATGCTTCTCAGAAAGTGACACACAGCGCCGCTACTGCTGGAAACCATAAAGTCACTTGAAGCCAGACGGGGCTGTAGGGCAGTCATCGACACCAAGAGAAGACTGAATGAACCGATCGAAAACGAAATATGGGAGGGAATTGTGAAGCGAACCCCTGAGCTAAGCGTGGGAAGGCTGAGCGCGTGAGGCACTGCAGGGAGGTGCAGGATAGGTCGCATGGCAGCATCGCTCATCGTGGCGGGGGAGCTGTGAGGATTGCAGTCGCACACGTACTACTAACGGGGATGTTCCAAGTGAAAGGGTACGTCGCGAGCAGTGAAACTTTGTCACTTGGGCGAGAAAGAAGGTGCGGCTCCATTCTTCGTAGACTGCGAAGGAAGAACGAAGCGCATGCATGAGGGAATCATCTAAGGGAAGTCTCTAAGATAACCGCCACGTCTTTGTCTCCGCGACTCCTCTCATTGTGAACTGCGAGGAGGCTACCAAGTGAGCGACCCTATGGGGTTCATTCTGGTTGGGAAGGATTCTTGACCTCGCAACACCCTCCCTTATTTTCCCCTATCGTTCATGGCAGACACAATGTGGAGGGCCGTGTCTGAGATGCTGGAGAGGTTTTTCAGTTGAATAAAAGTGCGTCTTTCAGTTCTCGCACTGAGGGCTGACGAAACGGCCTGCAGAAAGATCCACAACAAGGGCAAACACGAGCTTATATATTCAAATGCTGAAAATGCAACGCACCAAGAAATACTAGGAAAGAGTTCTCACATCCGGCACGCAAATATTCCCATCCCAGCAGGTGCAACTTACATCCAGCATGCGCGTGCTCCCGTAATCGCCTCGTACAAGCGACACCAATGCTTCTTCGAGTGCACCTTCAACCTTAAGCACACGATTGATCTGCTCAGCAACCTCCCTTGCTGCTGCCAGCTCCCCCGCTTGCTTTGTGATCAAGTTCCTGTGTTGAGCCACCTCCCCCCTGGCTGCTGCCAGTTGCTCCCTTAGCTCCTTCAGTTGCACGCCCAACCCACCCACTCCCACTAGCCGCCCGAGAGAGATTCCAACAGCTTCGTACACGCTGTGTAGTGCGAACCTGCCATGCTCAAATGCACACGACAGTAGTCAAGTGCACAGCACAACAATCAAAAAGCCGAGAGAAAACAAGCAGGAGAGAGGAACAAGGTTTTAAAACCAGCAGACGCATATCATGATAACATCATGCATAGAATGGTTCGAAAGTTTCAAAATCTCCGAGTGGAATAAAGAAAATCCCCAAAGCGGTGGCAGCAAACGAATAAGTGAATAAAAATATAAAAAGGAAGGTTTTTTATACGATGTAAGGAAGGAAGGAATCAAACAGCTGGGTGAGACCCTCACCTTGCATTGTCCAGAAGCTCATAAGCCTGTGGTGTGACGCGGGGAGAAATGGCGAGGGAGCATCGTGAAGGAAGAGAGGGCAGGATGACTAATCAATGTGTGTGGGAAAGAGGAGGACGAGAGAGGGGTGGGGACCAGAGCAGCAAAAAGAGATAAGAGATCAAAGCTTGGGAAAGTGGGGGAGGAGAGGTACAGAGCTGAGAGACCCAAACGAAATACAGTAGCAGCAGGCACCCCTAGGCAAGAAGTCGGGCATCATACCCATGCTGTAATCTGCGCCCACAGCTTGGTCATCACAGCAACTTTCAGCTCATGAACCCAAGAATTGGCTTGCGGATATGAGACTCCCATCCTCCAAAGTAGTGTCACCAGCGCATTCAATGCAACGTATGCAACAAAGGCCTGCGTTTGAGAAAGCAGACAGCCACAGTCATTTAGTTTGCATATTTTGAATATATCGACAGGGGGAAAACATAGGCACTTTCCAGCAGCTGACAAACGGACCAGGCCCTTGGTGTTTCTAAGAGCTGTAGGGTTAACACTCTGCTTTCCAAGGGCTTACCAGAGTGCAAAGGAGGTGGAAGGGTGTGGTGAGAGAATGGGCATATTCCTTGAAGGAGTTGATTTGGTGAGGCTGGAGCTGAGGAAGGCGGGTGGCATCATGCCACACAGCAGTGGCATTCCCCTGAGAGTGTGCACAACACATGAGGGAATGCGTGGCCGGGCACGGACATTAGCAACAGTCCAAAGTGACGGCTCGCCATGTCACTGTGGGAAGCCGAGCCGACTAGTGGAACGCTCGTTACTGCAGCGTTCCACTCAGTGCAGCTGAGCGTTCTCAGCTGTACTGAGTGGAGCGCTCAGTAAAACAGCCGTGAGGTGAGACGCCACATCCACACATCTTGTCAACAGGACGAGGCCAGCTCGTCCCGGCTTGAACAAAGAGCTGGTAAGCACCAGCAGTGAATGCAGGTATACTTTTCAGGATGCATGCATGGAAGCGTTCGAGAGTGAATTGGCTGCTTACACCGAGGGAGTGCAGATACGTGTGAGATTCACTCGCAGGCAGCATGAGTGAATGGTCAGCTTGCAGTAGACGAAAGGGCCAAGACTAGCTTCCGTAGGAGGGGGAGGTGAGGTGGCGGGGTGAGAGAGAACTGTTGAGCCACGCAAGCTGATAAGAGAAGAGAGTCACACAGAGGAGCCAGTGGTGGGACCAAGGAGAAATTGAAGGTGGGATGTGGCATAGGAGAACAGCAGGACGCACCAGATCATCAAAGTGGGAACGCATACAGGTGAGAGGAGCAGCACGAAGCGTCTGATATTCCGGAGCAAGCTGGAGGGCGGTGTGATTGAAGCACCAGATGTTGCTGCTTCCTTGGGGGTCCTGCTGATGGTTGCGGTGGACGGTAGTTCGAATCCGTCTAATGCGTCGCGTCGTACCTGGAGGGCGGCAGCGCAGCAGCGCGCGAGGCGCTTTCGTCAGAGGGCGAGCAGCGGGACGGGTCGAGAGCAATGTGGAAGGCAAGGGAACGGCGAGGCGAGGCAACCAGGGTCGAAGGCAAGAGGGAATTGGACAGGAAGAGACCAGGAGGGTAATGAACCACGGTGCACTGCAGTTGGAAGCTGGAGTTAAAGGAGAAGGGCGATGGACGAAGGGTCGGAGGAAGGGATGAGGTGGCGCGACGTGCGTTACGGCTCGCACTCGCCGCACCGCGCGGCATCTCTCGCTCTGCACGCTCGGCCGCCGCGGCATCGTTTCCTATCCCATCTCGCACGCGGCCCCGAGTCGCCTCCGACTCGGCCACTACCACAATAACGGCATCGTCAGAACATCTTTTTTCGAAGGGGGGATGAAAAGGGCACGATGCGTCGTGGCGCCAACTCGCCGCACCTCTCGCACGCGCCCTTCACTCACGACAGCATCGCGCTCTGTTCGCTTGCCCACCATCTCACACGCACCGGCAAACGACGGCATGTTGGCCAGTCTGTGGGTAGACTGATGGCAGATAAAGCCATTTGGCCGGGTCAGGTCGCAGCCACTTGGCGGGCGGAAGACACCGACTTATCAGAAACCGACGCACCCCCATCTCTCTCTCTTCCCGCCTCCCCACAAAAGCCATATTAACCATTAGCCCCATGCAGTGCTCGCATCGCACTGCCATCACGAGTCGCCTCTGACTCGGCCGTGCACCTCAGACCCCTACTCCGAGTCGGTCCACGTGGTGTTCAAAGTGCCTGCTCACGACGTTCGTTCCCGCCAGCCGCGCGGCGAGCACACAGTGGCTGTGCTGAGCCTCGACCATCACGAAACTATCCGGTTACATTTGCGGGGCGTTCGCGGCTAAATTCAGCGCCAATTTGACTGGCGACGCGGCTTTTCGGCAGACAGCATCATCCAGAACAACGTATCCCCTAGGGATGCAACTAGGAGAGATGCGACATGACTTCGTCCCGATATGATGCGCTTTGCTTCCGCTGGAAACGCTTGGATGTACTGTTTTGATAGTGTAAAATTTGGATCCTATCCAAAGTGTAAATCATGCTGCTACATTACATCCTTCTTGTCTAACGCTGCAGCATGGTTGTGCCATAGGATTGATGACATGCAAATACCACATTCATTCATTGCTGTCTATCTTGCCCTTATGGATGCAGTTGTTTTAAGGACAAACATGGTTGGTATACATTACAGGTGAGGCGAGCTAACATCCCAACATGACATACAGTACACCCCATACCCATTGCAGATGCGGACCAGGCAAGGCAATGCAAGCCTCTACCTTTAAACACAGAAACGCATGACTTTGCCCAAGCTACAATTTGACTGCGCACTACGAAAAGCAGACAGATTTCAACGAGACCACCGTCACTGCCACCAAGTGATCATGCAGCAAAAGGGCTGTTGCACTTCCCATCTCAAAATCTGCTCTGCTTCCTCCAAACGCCCAGATTGAATCACGGGGGCAGACAGATCTCAACGGACCCATCAGAGCTGCCACCGACAGTTCCCCCTGCACACAGGCTGTTGTACTGCTCAAAGAGCTACTTTGCAAACAGCTCCCCCCCTGCTTCCTCCACTCCCACATCTAACTACGGGGGCAGACAGATCTCAATGGGCCCATCAGAGCTGCCCCCAATGGTCCCCGCACACAGGTCATTGTACTCATACAACCGCTTGCTTCCCCCAAATCCCCAAATCTAACTACGAGGGCTCCCAGCTCCCTGCTTCCTCCAATTGTCCAACCCTAGTTACGGGGGCAGACAGATCTCAATGGGCCCATCGGAGCTACCCCCAATGGTCCCCGCACACGGGTCGTTGTACTTCTCATACAGCTGCTTGTTTCCTTTGAAAAACCTGGTCACGATACTGTTGCACGATGCCGATGGCGTGACCCTTCTTGATCTTCCCTCAACGCATGGACCGTAAAGTCCAACCGGCAGGGCCTCGGTACATATCTTGGGCCAACGAGCCTGCATGTTGGGGACGTATACATGTTAGAAAGAAGTGACTTTTGGGTCGACTCAACAGACCAACCAGCAGGGCTTTGGTGCATATCTTGGGCCAACGAGCCTGCATGTTGGGGGTGTGCGCATGTCAGACAGAAGTGTGATTTGAGATGTCTTAACCAACCAGCAGGGCTTCTGTACATATCTCGGGCCAACGAGCCTGCATATCACAGATGGACACATGCAGCAAGAAGTGTGGCTCACCCGGTACACTTGAAATGGACAACGAATGCATATGTAAAACAGAGTGTGAGGTGTGAACCAGGCTTTCGTAGAGATGCGGAGTGATGGCACTGTATGCTCAACAACAAAACAGGAAGAACTTCTTCCAATAACGAATTTTGAGACGCCTCAAGTTTTGAGACGTCTCAAAACTCAACAACCAAACAGGAAGAAATTCTTCGGATAACAAACCGGCAATGCTTCATGCAGTCTCCTCCGACTCCGACTCACCTCCCCACTGGCAGTTTTGGGGCTGTAGCACGCTCACCTCCTGGTTGGCAGTTTGTGAGCTGTAGCACACGAGCCCCGGGTTGAGCCGTAGAGCTCAATCAAGGAGTAGAACTCAAAGTCCTTCACCACCTGCGCACAGCTGCTCGTGAGCAGCTGGTTGAGAGCTGTAGCACACTCACCTCTCTGTTGGCATTCACTGAGCTGTAGCACACGAGCCCTGGGTTCAGCCGGTAGAGCTCAATCAAGGAGTAGAACTCAAAGTCATTCACCACCTGCGCACAGCTGCTCGTGAGCAGCTGGTTGAGAGCTGTAGCACACTCACCTCTCTGTTGGCATTCACTGAGCTGTAGCACACGAGCCCTGGGTTCAGCCGGTAGAGCTCAATCAAGGAGTAGAACTCAAAGTCCTTCACCACCTGCGCACAGCTGCTCGTGCCGCTGACCGAGTACTCTGTATTGCAGTACTCCCCACTCCCGTCATCCGCCCCGTCCTCCCGCTCGATGCAGAGGGAGCGGGAGGGCGGGAGGGGCGAGGAGCAGTCGAAGCCGGGGTTGAGCTGCTGCAGGGAGAGAGAGGAGATGGCGAGAGAAGCTGCCACTGACTCGCATGTGTCGCCCTGCATTGGATGTTTGGGGGGAGGAGTGGAGGAGCAGAGAGGTGGGAGGGGTGCGGCAAGACAGCCCGGAAATGCTGAGAGAGGCTGCCACTGACTCGCATGTGTCGCCCTGCATTGGGGATGGGCGGGGTGTGGGAGGTTGAGGTGTGGGTGGAGGGGCGGAGAGGTGGGAGGGGTGCGGCAAGACAGCCCGACGATGCCGAGAGAGGCTGCCACTGACTCGCATGTGCTGGCCTGCGTGGGGATAAGCAACAACAGCATGACAGAGGAACCGAGATACAGAGACAGCAGCTACAGCTGCTGGCACAGAGCACACGGCAAGGTGCAAGGGAGGCAAGTTACCAGTTGAATGTAGTAGAAGAGAGAGCAAGAGGGAGGCCCTTGCAAGGTAGTTACCTTCTGAATGTAGTAGAAGACAGTGCAGGAGGGAGGCTCTTGCAAGGGAGGTGAGTTACCTTCTGAAGAGCAGGAGGGAGGTGAGTTACCTTCTGGATGAAGTAGAAGACAGAGCAGGAGGTCAAGTCGTCCCTCTCAGCCACGTTCAGCGTTTGACCCTGGGTGAGGGCAGCAGAACAGTCCACGCCCTGCCCAGGCAGCACACCAACATGGAAGGGTGAACAGCTGGTTTGGAAGATCAAGAGTACCTTTTATAAAAAGCTTTGCAGGCGCAGGGTATACTGGGATAAACTCTCAAACAATCCCTCACATTGTTCTGAGCAGTGAACTCGTCGAGAGTGAGTCCATAAAGAGGATAGACGTCCTCGCACCTCCAGTTGTCTCCTTGCACCTTGAGCGTGGGAGAAGAAGCTCCTGTGCCATTGTCCATGACAAGGACGCAAAGCGAATGACAAAGAGCACATAGACTCTCCCGTTCAGGAAACTGTGCAGTTTGGAGAACTAAGCTAACTCTCACTTGCTCTGATGCACCGTTTTGGTAAATATACAGCAAAACCAGATTGTTAATTGTCTTTCACATATAGTGAGAAAAGGTGTCAGATCCAAGGCAGACCGTGCCAAGGCAGACCGTGCCAAGCATGTGAATAGAGAGGGGCAGAGAGCATACCATAATTACAGGTGGGGTATCCGTTGCTTGTGGATGGGACGCGGTTGGGAGGGCAGACACAGGTGTAGGAGCCGGGGCCACCGCTGATGCAGGAGCCATACTTGCAGGGGTTGCGCGTGCTGTTGCCACACACATCCGCTGGTGGGAGTGGTGGAAAAGGGAGGCAGGCACATAGAATGGGGTCCAGTGAGTGAGTGGTTGAGTGGGTGAATGCCCAAGAATAGAACCTGCCTTGCGCATGCTGTTGCCACACACGTCCGCTGGTGGAGGTGGTGGGGGGAAGCAAACAGAATTCAAGCAAACAAAATTATTTCCAGGCTCCTGAAAGTAGAGACTGCCTTTCAAGGGTTTGTGGTGCTGTTGCTACACACATCAGTTGGTGGAGGTGGTGGGGAGAGGAAGCGGTTTGATTTTTGAAGTGCCTCAAGAATAGATTACGGGCAGACACACTAGTAGGAGCCGAGGCCATCACTGATGCAGGAGCCATCCTTGCAGGGGTTGTGAGTGCTGTTGTGACACACATCCGCTGAGGGAAGGAAGGGGAGGAAGGGCGGGATAGGGGGGAACGGTTTCTTTCTTTAGGCGCATCAAGAAAAGAGCCCACCTTGATGGGATACGGTATGCAGCTGTGCAAGAGGGGTTGCCACTCTAATCCGGAGGGTAAAGGTGTAAACGAATACCAACATATTTGTATTCGTATTCGTTATTCGACAAATACCGAATAAAAAAACGAATCCAATACCACTGGCTATTCGACTATTATTCGTATATGGACTATTCGACATATTCGGTATTCGCCAGCCGAATATTCGGATATTCGTATAAGTATTCGACTATCTCAACCTGTATGCCCTTAGATTTCAGAGGGTGCGTTTGTTCTGCTTCAGTCGTATCATCAGCGATGAAAGCACCGGCGGTGCTTACGGCCTATTACGAACCATGGGCCAAGGTCATATATATAGCAAAAACCGTATTCGTATTCGTATTCGCCATAGAACCAGGTATTCGAACAGTATTCGTGAACCAGCTATTCGAACCGTATTTGGATTCGATTAGAAGAGGGCTATTCGGCCGAATACGAATTTGCCTACTATTCGTAAAATATTCGTATAAGAATTCGTATTTGAAACCGCATTCGTTATACACCCTTACGAATGTGGAAGAGGCAGAGGACTAGGTGGAGTAGATGCATGCAGAGAGACTGTCTTCAATATGCAGGCTGGCAAAACACAAGGACAGAAAACAATGTAAGCAGGAGTGAGGAAATGCTTACGGTCTGTTGGTGAGGGTGCAGGAAGTGGAGGGTCATCATCCGTCGTATCAATAGGCTCAAGAAGAGAGTCGCCTGGTTCCTTGGTTGCATCGCACCTGCATTCCGCGGGGCACGCCTGGCAAATGTCCTCTGGAGCAGCGGGAGTGAGGGATTGGGAGGGGGAGGGTGGAGTGGGGGGAAGGAGTGAGGCACGGCACGCTGGAGAGAAGAGAGCTGAGGAGATGAGTGGAAGAGAGGAGAGGAGAGACAGGAATCGAGCAGAGAAGCATAGAGGAGAGGAGGGTAACAGATGCCAAAGAGAAGGGAAGGTGAGAAGAGAGGAGGGGGACGAAAGGAGTGGTGGAGGTAAGGGAGAGAGTCCAGCACGGCATGCACCAATGATGCAGGGAGCAGGGAGCAGGGGAGTATGGAAGCATGGATTCATGGAAGCATGGATGCATGGAAGCATGGATGCATGGATGCATGGATGCATGGATGCATGGATGCATGGAAGTAGGAAAGCAGGCGAGCAGGAAAGCAGGCGAGCAGGAAAGCAGGGAAGCAGGGAAGCAGGGAAGCAGGGAAGCAGGGAAGCAATCAAGCAAGCAAGCGGGGAAGCAGGCAATCAGGGAAGCAGAAAAGCAGGGAAGCAGGGATGACACCTCATTGCTGACTGCTGCGGATCAGAGTGTGCGCTGGCGGCTCTCCCTGCGTTGCAGTGATACACCATGGACAGCTGCTTGCTCAGCACAAGGAGGACCATCCAGCGTCTTGAATGTACATGCAGCGAGAAGGCTCTTGCCCTTGCCCATGCTTACCGTCTGATGGCAATGGTTCGGATGGAAGGTCATCGTCCATGAAACCCAATGAGCCACCCAGTGAATCGGGGGATTCAGGTGGAGAGTCGTTATCTTCCGACTTTTTGGAGTTTCCAAAGATCGCTCTTGCATGCAGTTGCGCGTGCTTACCGTCTGCTGTCGAGGGTTCGGATGTAGGGTCGTCGTCCATGAAACCCAATGAGCCACCCAGTGAATCAAAGGATTCAGGTGGAGGTTCGTTGCCCTCCGAGGTTGCATCGCACCTGCATTCCGCCGGGCACGCCTGGCAGATGCCCTCTGGAGCAGCGGCAGTGAGTGATGGGGGGGAATGGGAAGGGAGGGGAGAGGAAGGGAGTCGTCGGGTTCATTGGTTGCACCACACCTGCATTCCACGGGGCACGCCTGGCAGATGCCCTCTAGAGCAGCGGCAGTGAGTGATGGGGGGAGTTGGGGAGGGAGGGAGGGGAGAGGGAGGGGGAAATGAGGCACACTGCGTGCTCACAAATGTCCTCTGGAGCAGCGGATGTGAGGGTTGGGAAGGGGAGGGGGGAGAAGGAGGGGAGGAGTGAGGATGGTAGTAGAAGAGAGGGGAGGAGAGACGGGAAGAGAGAAGAGGAGAACATAGGAGATGAGAGACGCAGATGACAGAGAGAGGAGGAGACGAGAAGAGAGAAGGGGGATTAAAGGAGTGCTGGAGGCGCAATAGGGACCAGCACAGCACAGCACGCAGCAATGATGCAGGGGAGCGAGCAGGGGAGACAACGAGGGACATCTACATTCTCGAATGTACTATGCATTGAGAATGCTCTTGCCCTTGCACATGCTTACTGTCTGTTGGTGATGGTACGGATGTAGCAGGTGGATTAACGGGTGTTGATGTAGCAGGTGGATCAACGGGTGTTGATGTAGCAGGTGGATCAACGGGTGTTGGCAGATGTCCTGTGGATCAGCGGCAGGGGGGAGTTTAATGACGGGATAGAGAAACAAAGAAACGGGGTTGGATACAAGGTTTGCACGTCAGAAGCTGTGAAATGAGAAGAGAGTAAAAGAGAGAGGAGGAAAGGAGGGCAGGAGGGGAGAGGAGATGAGAGTATAAAAGCAGAGAGGAGAGGAGATGAGAGGAGAAAAGCAGAGAGGAGAGGGAAAGGACCTGAGTGTTGAATGTGGTATAGGCTACTAAGGCTACAATACAACTCTGGGTGTACAATGAATAAATGTGCAGGAGTGAAAAGGATTGTGCACGCAATGACGGAGAACAGCAGAGAAGAAGAGAGAAAGGAAAACAGAGGATTGCCGCAAGGAGAGGAGAGGAGAGGAGAGGAGAGGAGAGGAGAGGAGAGGAGAGGAGAGGAGAGGAGAGGAGAGGAGAGGAGAGGAGAGGAGAGGAGAGGAGAGGAGAGGAGAGAAGAGGAGAGGAGAGGAGAGGAGAGGAGAGGAGAGGAGAGAAGAGGAGAGGAGAGGAGAGGAGAGGAGAGGAGAGGAGAGAAGAGGAGAGGAGAGGAGAGGAGAGGAGAGGAGAGGAGAGGAGAGGAGAGGAGAGGAGAGAAGAGGAGAGGAGGTGAGAGGAGAGGAGAGGAGAGGAGAGGAGAGGAGAGGAGAGGAGAGGAGAGGAGAGGAGAGGAGAGGAGAGGAGAGGAGAGGAGAGGAGAGGAGAGGAGAGGAGAGGAGAGGAGAGGAGAGGAGAGGAGAGGAGAGAAGAGGAGAGGAGAGGAGAGGAGAGAAGAGGAGAGGAGAGAGAGACGAGACGAGTGGAGAGTGAGAGCAGCAGTGGACGCACCAATGATGCAGCGGACGGACTTGAGCGGCTTGGCAATCTTCCTCGCCCTGTTCCACAGGCACAGAAACAACGGGTCGCACGGCATGAGTGAAACCACTGAGGATAGCAAACTGTGGCCCAGAGATGCAGAATTTGCAGGATTCAGTTGCACTGGGAGATTCAGTTGCACTGGGAGATTCAGTTGCACTGGGAGATTCAGTTGCACTGGGAGATTCAGTTGCACTGGGAGATTCAGTTGCACTGGGAGATTCAGTTGCACTGGGAGATTCAGTTGCACTGGGAGATTCAGTTGCACTGGGAGATTCAGTTGCACTGGGAGATTCAGTTGCACTGGGAGATTCAGTTGCACTGGGAGATTCAGTTGCGAATACAAGATGCAGAATTTGCAGGAGAGGCAGGGGGAGCAGCGATTCAAGGGGGGGCAGTGAAGCAGGGAGGCACTGCGAGGCAAGGAGGGAAAGCAGGGAAGAAGGGGAGCAGGGAAGCAGGGAAACGGGGAAGCAGGGAAGCAGGGAAGCAGGGAAGCAGGGAAGCAGGGGAGCATGGAAGCAGGGACGCAGGGGAGCAGGGAAGCAGGGAAGCAGGGAAGCAGGGAAGTGGGGAAGCGGGGAAGCGGGGAAGAAGGGATGCGGGGAAGCAGGGACGCAGGGAAGCAGGGAATCAGGGAATCAGGGAAGCAGGGACGCAGGGCTGAGAGCTGAACGGCACGACGAGCTCACCGCTGCCTGCCCTGCATCAGAGTGTCCACGGCCGTTCCCTTGCACCCGGGCTTGGAGAAGAGCCGAATCTCGCTACACGCAGCCGCTGCGCCCGGCTGCGTCCACGCCACCTGCACCTTCTTCTTGCTGCCTCCGCGGCGGGCGCTCTTGGCCCCTTAGCCGGGAGAATGTCGACGCAGCGCAGCGAGTTGAAGGTGATGGCGCGGCCGTTGATGCTCACCCGCGTGCCCACGGTGTTGAGTGCCGCGCCACTGGCTGGTCCTGTTGTAGTAAGGGGCATGAGAGAGTTTGGGAGTGGGAGCATGGGAGCATGGGAGCATGGGAGCATGGGAGCATGGGAGCATGGGAGCATAGGGAAGAGCATGGGAGCATGCAAGAATCGAATTATGGAGCGGAGTGGATGACGGTATGGGAGCATCTGTTACGTGAGCAAGAAGTATGGGAGCATGAGAGGATGGAGGAATGGGAGAACGGGGGAATGGGAACATGGGAGCAAGACAGCATGAGAACATGGGAGAATGAGATCATGGGCGCATGTGAGCATGGGAGAGCATGTAAAAGCATGGAGTCATTAAGAGTTGAGCATGAGAGTACGAGAGAAAGGCAGCACGGGAGCAAGGAGCAGGGGGGTATGTGAGAATGGGAGCAGGGAGCAAAGGCGCACCAGCGGCGACGACGAGGATGAGAAACAGCGCAACCAGCGTAATCACGCCGTTTACACTCGCGCCGCACCGCATCATTGTGCCTTGCAGCTGGCCCCCACGCGCGTAGGGAAAGAAGATACGGCGGGCGATGCTATGGGTGACGATAATCGCGCAGGTGATATGCGGTTTTGAGGAGTACTAGAGATGGTTGCGGAGCAGTCTACGATGGACTGTTGAGCATCATGTGGAATGGCGGACGTTTTCAAAAGCTGGAGAGAGCACGCGGGCTATACTCATATGCGGTAAGGAAATGAGAACGAGATATAGAACTCGTGGCGCCGTAGAGGTGTCGGGCAAGAGACGCAGAAAGGAACTGAGTGCGGACTGACTACAATTTGAATATTATCATCACTTATATTGGAATGTGACAGCCTGCTCCTACCAGTGCCCTGACGACTGCAGAATCCGTCGAATTTTTAGTTCAACAACGCTGCAACTCCGATTTGCGAGAAATGGCTGGGCTCCTGCCATGGATCTCCGCGATCGCTCAACGCGCCTTCCCTGACACGCCAGTCCACCCTGACCAGAGGCGAAATGCCTACTGGTGCTACGACTACTGCGAGTTCAAGCACAAGCGGGAACGCGGTCAGCAGCGTCGCCATCGTCGTCGCAAGGAACGAAGTGTGCGTTCTTGCGAATTGCAACCTGCGACTTGCGCGACGGCCTCGGCGCCGAGCGAGGCGGGCGATGGGAACGCGTACTGAGCTTGCCAGACCATGAAGTGTTGGTATTCGGGGTGTGAATTTCTACTAGTGAATTATTTGTGCGAGCAACACAAGAAGCGGAGTCAAACAGAGGAGGAAGAGAAGTGGATGACTGGAAGCGATGGAATGGTTTTGCTCTGAGAAACTGAAAATCGATTGGCTGGTGCTATCGTTAGCGACCAATCAACCAATCAGGCTGCATTTGTTGAATGGCGGGAGAATGGCCCCGAAGCAGTCCGTTGGTTGGAACGCGTTCAGGCCAATAAGGCGAATAAGGGATACTCACATACAGCGGCTTCGTTAATGTGTAGAGTCATGTAAAAGAAAGGATTTAATAGAGTCGACGTCACAAAGCAGCATATTCTCTAATTTTTGCGGCAAGTCGCAGCCAACCTCCCCTTGTCAAATGAAACGGAGCACAAGATTTTCGCCTGCCTCGCTACTTTCGCCACGGGCCACTGTACCGCAAGAGCCGGGAGGTCCCCGCTGGGGCTGAGGGGCTTCCATCGTGGTCTTGTGTGATCAAGTGCTTTTGAGTACGGTATACAGTATATAGCAACCACCAGCCAGCACAAAGATAGAAGCTCCGCATTCCACGGGTTTCGCGACTTCGCTTTTTGAAGGTGATCCCTCTTTCGAAAATGGTTACCAGTGATAGAGTTTTGGAATTCCAGTTTGACCAGCAAATTTCGCGATTCGAAGAACGCGTTCCACAATGGCGCCAATCAAAATACCTGTCAGATCTAAACGACAGGGCACTTGGCTCCATTATTGTCGTCAAAGAAGAGTCGCTGCTGTTCGCGAACCATCCGCCTGAATCAGCGGGGGCTGTGTTGCGAACACTATGAGAGGTGAAACGGTGTTCGCAAATGAATACTCTGGATACATTCGGCCCGTCGCTACTTGGGTCGTACAGATCTGGCTCGCCCGTCGAAGTTTATTGCGGGAAGCAACGACTCGTTCCGGAAACAACTTGTTCATCCTGTAGAAACAACTTGTTCCCAGATCAAGTAGTCTCCAATCCCGATTCATCTACATCATTATCCTTCATCTCAGCCCCTCCAATAGGAAAAATAGCACATTCGAAGTGCCATACTTTTCGCGCATCGAGACAACTCGCGTTTTGTCCAGTCCTTAAAGCACCAATCACGCGCCATTCGCCCCGCCCTCCTGCGTGGATCAACGAAACGGCAAACCTCTGTTGGAGGGAAAAACCTCGACATTGCAAAATAAATAAGCAGTCACGACCAGGCCCGACGCTCTTGTAGAATTCGAGAGCGACCCCCTTGACTATTCTTGATCAAAGCGGAGAGCCGTTTGCCGACGCGCTCGGCCGTTGATTCCAGTACTACTCTCCTTTCACGGCATCGTGTCGGGAGCGCAGCGCCAGATGTCGATGCCGGCACTAGCAGCTACTACTATTCCCGTGGCGCCTCAAAGACCGCACCGCCAATTGTCGATGCCCGTGATCGCGACAGTGGCGAGGCGGCGACGCGGGTCGCCGAGCGCTTCGTCGACCCTTTCTGCCACCGCCGGTACGGCATGGGTTGTTTCTGCCATGCCATCATGGTACATGAGAATGATCGCAGGGTGTGGTACATGCTGACTCTGGTGGTGGTGAGAATGATGGGTGTTGTCCCTCACATTCTTACACCCCCGCAGGTGATGATCGCCGTGGTGCAAATGTAAATGGACAAGTTTTCATGATGTCAACTCGCGATGACTAGATAAGCCTGCTGAAAGCTATCATGGTATGGCAGGCGATGCTAAGGGGTCAATGTCCCTCATCACCCCCCTCATTCCGCCAAAATGCCTCCCATTCGACCCGCACGGCCCAACTTGGGCCCCGCCCACCCCACATTCCCCGCCGTCCTTCATCCAGCTGCCTGTCCGGTTCCCCCATGCGCCCCACCCACCATGGTCCTGCCTGCCTGTCTGGTTCTCCATGCCCACGACAGCATGGCGGTGCGGGCAGCACGGCGCGCTGACAGCGGCGCTGCTGGCGGCGGTGGCTGTGGCGGGCTGCGTGGCCTTCCTGCACCTCGCCTCGCACCGTTACATGGACTCCCTGCTGCAGGTAAGGTCCCTTCGTTCCTCCCTACTCCAAGTAAGCCCCCTTCCCCCACACTCCTCGCACGTGGCCTTCCTGCACCTCGCCTCGCACCGTTACACGGACTCCCTGCTGCAGGTGTGGCTCCTCCCCCGCACCTTCTCATGCGCTTGCATAAACCCCGGAAAAAGGGCACACATGCTTGCTAAACCCTGACGGCAGAGCACACAGGCTTGCTTAAACCCCAAAGGCAGAGCACACATGCATGCATAAACCCCAACAGCAGACCGCACATGCATGCGTAAACGCCAACAGCAGACCACACATGCATGTATAAACCCCAACAGCAGACCACACATGAATGCTTAAACCCCAATAGCAGACCACACATGCATGCATAAACCCCAACAGCAATCCACACATGCATGCATAAACCCCAACAGCAGAGCACACATGAATGCATAAACCCCTACAGCAGAGCACACATGCATGCATAAACCCCAACAGCAGACCGCACATGCATGTGTAAACTCCAACCTGTTTCTTCCTTCTCTCCTTTCTTTGTGACTGCACCGCTGTGAGAGTGACTGGCACCACGTGCTCCCATCCCCTCATCCCCCCCTCATGTGCTCCCATCCCCTCATCCCCCCCTCATGTGCTCCCATCCCCTCATCCCCCCCTCATGTGCTCCCATCCCTTCATCCCCCCCTCATGTGCTCCCATCCCCTCATCCCCCCCTCATGTGCTCCCATCCCCTCATCCCCCCCTCATGTGCTCCCATCCCCTCATCCCCCCCTCATGTGCTCCCATCCCTTCATCCCTCCCCACTTGTCCCCATCCCTCCCCACCCATGCGCAACCGTTCCTCCCCTCCATGCATCAGCAACTGCAAGCCTTGCAGCCGTTTGGGCTGGCGGGTACCTCCCTGGCAGATGCTGCACTGACAGGAGACATCCAAACCGGGGCTGCTGCGCTGACAAGTGCTGCCATGGCAGGCACCAGGAGAGCAGGCCCATCCCCCCATTCCCCCTCATGCCCCAATCCGCCCATACCCCCCCATCACCTGTCCCCATGTATCAGCAACTGCAAGCCCTGCAGCCGTTTGGGCTGGCAGGTGCCTCCCTGGCAGGAGCTGCACTGACAGGAGACATGCAGGCGGGGGCTGCTGCTTTGACAAGTGCTGCCATGGCAGGTGTCTCTCTCACAGGCGACGTTCAGTCTGGTTTCCTGCAGGAAGCCGCCATGCAAGGAGCAGCTGTGCAGAGCTTCCGGAGTGGCAGCAGCAGGAGGGGAGGCAGCAGCAGTAGCACCAAGAGCGGCAACATCAGCGCCACACACACATGGCAGGCAGTCGTGAGTGTTTGCTTTTACTTTCGTGCACCTGAATGAATTTTGTTGTTCTGTATGATGATTGGGCCCCAGAGGGATGGCGTGCCGTTCAAAGGATCTGTTACTTGCCGCGACATGTTTCAATCCATTCCATTCGCTGATCACCCCTTTCTTCCCGCTTCCCTCGCTCGCTTTCACCTTCCTTGTGCATCCGACTTCCTTCACTCTTCGCTCCTCTCCCTACCCTTCTCGCCCCTCTCCGCCAGAGCATGAAGGGAGGCCAGGCTGGGGGCAAGGGGCAGGGGGGATGGCCAGCGATTGGGGGAGTGCTGTGGAGGGGATGTGCCAGTGAGGCGGACCCATGCCACACTGCCTCGGGTGGGTGCTGAGTGGGTGGGTGGGTGGGTGGTTGGTTGGTTGGTGGGTGGGTGGTTGGTTGGTTGGTGGGTGGGTGGTTGGTTGGTTGGTGGGTGGGTGGGTGGTGGGTGGCCGGTGATAGGTGGAGTGCGGTGGAGGGGTGTGCAGGGGACGGGGACGCATGCCACACTGCCTCGGGTGGTTCACTCGTGCTGAGTGGTTGGTTGGTGGGTGAATGGTAGGTGGTGGGGTGGCTGGTTGGTGTAATGCGAGGGGAAACCACTCCTGGACACTACACCTTTGAGTACCCCCTGCAATGCCTACCTGTGTGCCCTACATCTATTCCTACATCTCTCTCCCCCCAACCTGTGCTGCTCCACTGTGTGCCCATCCATGCAGCTAGTGCAGCAGGCACGGAGGACCGGGGCAGGCAGAGGGGGAATATTCAATGGTGCAACTCCGAGGGGGGCTCTTCAAATCCCCTCGCATATCCTCACTCTCACATCGCAGCCTGTCCTGCTTCACTGTGTGCCCATCCATGCAGCTAGTCCCGCAGGCACGGAGGACCGGGGGAAGGCGGAGGCGGAGGGGGAGGCG